AAGGGCCATAACTCGCTCATACGAACTCGGAATTGAGCAAACTCGGCGGCGTTGGAAAGATCATTCCACAAGATTCACAACCATAACTGGAACTACTTCTAAATCATCCTGAGATGGAAGTTATGACTGCTCAAAGTTGGCCAAAAATCACTGATTTCCATACTTAGCCAAATTTTCCAGATTTTCAAATCCTTTCCAAAAAATGAAAAATTTCAAATTCTAAGCCTCTTCTTAGCTATTTCAAATTGTCGGATGTTACATGATGCATAAAATAAATACTTTACTTTCCAAAGTATAGGTTAAAAAGTTTCTGATTTTAGCACAAAAAAATTAATTTCTTTGACTGGTCAAAGAACATCTTAAAAAGTAGGTGACTGTCAATAATGTATGAAAAGAAAAACTAATAATGACAAAATTCCACATATTGATGGTGACTGTCAATAATGTAGTATCATATTTCTTCTCTTTTGAGTAATATTTAATATCTTCAATTAAATTCTATCCACTCCTTACATATCCATTTCTTAATCTTCCAAACTTTTCTTGTTCATCATTTTTGAGTATTAATTTGATGGCAGCTTATAGTGCTGTAATTTCTCTTCTTCAAACTCTTGTTGATCAATGAAATATTCGAGAACTCTTTCATGATCACACTGCCAAAACGCTCGATTCTCTTCATGCTACTGCTCAATATTTTCAACATGTCCTTGAAAATATTAAGCAAGAATAGAAGATTTGACCATGAAAAGATCAAATCTTTGGAGGAAAAAATAAGAGTTGCTGTTAGTTATGCAGAAGATGTTGTTGAGATGAAAATTTCTCAAATCATCAAAGGCTCAAGCTGGACATTTGGAATTTTACAACACCATGATTTGATACCACTTGTTGAAAAAATGGATACAACAAAGAAACAAGTGATGGACATTCTTTCTCATGATGCTGATCAAGTTCTGGAATTATCCGGCGATTCCTTGATTGCCACTTCTTCTACAAGTTATCCAATGATGAAAGATGATATTGTTTACGGACTTGATGATGACTTGGAGATCATAATTAATAGGTTGAAAGGATGAGTACGGGATCTAGACGTTGTCACAATATCAGGCATGGGTGGCATTGGTAAAACAACACTAGCTAAAACAGCTTATGATCATCTTACAATCAGGTATCATTTTGACATTCTTGCTTGGGTTACAATATCTCAAGAATTTAGCCATAGAAGTGTATTGTTAGAAGCTTTACATTGCATCTCAAAGTCAACAGTTAGTTTTCACACAAAAGATTATGATAAGATGGATGACAATGAGTTAGCTGACCTGGTGCAAAAGAACCTAAAGGGTCGAAGATACCTTATTGTTGTTGACGATATTTGGAGTACAGATGTTTGGGATAGTATAATAGGAATATTTCCTAATTACAACAATGGAAATCGAATCTTATTGACTACTAGGAAAAACGAGGTAGCAATGTATGCAAATACTTGTAGCCCTCATGAGATGAAGCTTTTGAGTTTAGAAAACGGTTGGAGGTTACTTTGTGATAAGGTGTTTGGACCAAACCATGATCATCCTCCTGAGTTAGAAGGAATTGGAAAGGAAATAGTAGAAAAATGCCAAGGACTACCCTTGACAATCTCAGTGATTGCGGGACATCTCTCTAAAGTGGCCAGGACATTAGAAAGTTGGAAGGATGTCGCCCAAACCTTAAGTGAAATAATTGCCAGTCAGTCAGATAAATACTTAGGAGTGCTCGGTTTGAGTTACCACCACTTGCCTAGTCGCCTTAAACCTTGCTTTCTTTCTATGAGTAGTTTCCCAGAGGATTTTCAGGTTGATACTCGGAGACTGATCCAATTATGGATCGCAGAAGGTTTTTGTAAGGATTTCCAAAAAATGGTAAAAGTTTGGAGGAAGTGGCAATTGATTATTTGGAGGACCTTATTAGCAGGAACTTGATACAAGCTAGAAAAAGGGGATTCAATGGTGATATAAAAGCATGTGGAATACATGATATACTGCGTGAGTTCTGTTTGATAGAAGCTGAAATGACAAAGCATATGCATGTTGAGAGAACTTACCCTACTCTTCCAACACAAAAGCATAATGTTCGTCGCTTCAGTTTTCAGACCAAATCTTGTTCAGTTGAGGATTTTTATAAGTTATTGACCCCTGTTGCCAGATCTATCTATTTATATTCTCTATGGAATCTACCTCTTGATCCCCGTATTAAGATTTTCTGGAGAATTCCCAGCTACCGCTGTGATCCTAATATAATACCTGAATTTTTCTCTCGTTTCAACCTTCTCAGGGTATTGGTCATTTTCAATAAAGTTTTAATGCTCTCATCATTTCCAGTTGTGATTACAAAGTTGTTTCATTTGAGATATCTCCAAGTTCCATTTCACCAGAATATTCCTGAATCAATCTCAGAGCTTCAGAATTTGCAAACTCTAATTTGTAGTGGTTATTCTCTCGAGTCTGTAAGTTTACCTGTGGAGATATGGACGATGCAGTACTTGAGGTATATACATCTACGGGCAGCCACTTCTTTACCCAGCCCTAGAAGAGAAAGTATTCTAAATAAGCATCTTGTGACAAGGATGCCAAATCTAGAGGAATTTTCTGGTCTTTCTTGCACCAGTTGTACAAATGAAGTCTTTTCTGGCATTCCCGATCTAAGGAGATTGATCATTCAAGCACCTTTATTCTTTGATGACTCTTTACCCAATGGACTCATGGATATGTCCATCTTGAGAAAACTCGAAACATTCAAGTGTTATTACTGGCAACATAGTTGGATCTCGTGTAACTCCATCAAGAGTTTTGTTTTTCCAACATCACTTAAGAGGTTGACTTTAACTAGGTGTTATCTTTTTCCTTGGGAAGACATATCATCAACTCTCATCATGTTGCCAAATCTTGAAGAGTTCAAACTTAAAGATTCTAAAGCTACAGATGATATATGGAGATTGAGTGATGAAGATAAGTTCAAAAGCTTGAAGTTGTTGTTACTAGATGTCCTAAATCTTAAGCATTGGGAATCTAGTAGTGATAACTTCCCAAATCTAAAACGCCTTGTTCTGAAGAATTGCACCGACCTGCAAGAAATTCCAGGAGATTTCGGGGAAATTGGTACTTTGGAATCAATTGAGTTACATGATTGCAGCACTACCACTGAGGATTCTGCAAGAGAGATTGTACAAGAACAAGAGGACATGGGAAATAATATTCTTAAGGTCTACATCCATAATAATTGCAGTAAGTTTTAAATCTCTCCAAAAAGTTCTTCGATTCTCTAATCTTTGTTAAATATTACTTCCTTGAAATTAAGATGATGACTTGTACTTTTTATCTTGCATATGCAGGGGAATGAAGCTTATTTTAAGGCACCATCTAATGTCATCTTCCAAATACAAAACCTTTTAGTTCATACTTCGAAAAGTAAAATCTTTCGTTGTTTCTATGTTCTGATCATTAATTTGGTTAAATTCATGTTTTAGGAATAAACATGTTTAATTCAATTTCACCTTCAGCCTGAGAGGTATGTTCTGTATCATATGACGGAGTGTTTCAGCAACGGAGAGTTAAGGTCTTGAGCAATCCTTAACTCTTAAACTAGCTCAATGTCCATTTCTTATCATGTATCAGAGCCAAACTCTTCTTAAATCATTGTTTACCTGATGATTTGGGCCCCATCTTATATTATCCACACTCCAGATGTCCAATCCTAGGCATGCCGAGGTGTTGAGTCCACACCATTTGCTTTCCACTCAAACACTCTTAGCACTTTTATGTCCAAGTGCTATCTGAAATTCATTGGCATACTTATGAGAGCAACTCCAAACTCACAATTGAAGAGGCACCACTTGCTATTTTTTCATATAGGTAAAGTTTTCTAGTGTCTTTGTGTCACGCCCCGAGCCTACACCCTGGGCGGGACCGGCACTCGGAGACCATCGCTGGCCCCAAGCGAACCCTTGGCCTGGCTTTCTTAACTCAGCGAAAATAACTTAATGCCATGCAAAGACATAAAACAACTTAACTGATGAAATCTGGCCCAAAAGGGCAACTCGAGTCTCAAATAGAATATTTACATATATACATAGATGAGAGACTCAATACTAACTGACTGACTGTCTATGAAGCCTCTAACATACTGAGATGGATGTTGGGACAGGCCCCGCAACATCCTAATAAC